CCGGTGTGGCTGAGGCACTCTTCGCTACATCTCGTGACGGCTACCATTGTGTTGCATTTTTTTCGGTAAGCTATAAGTTAATAAGGAAAGGATTGGTGAGTGGGTTGAAAACAGCCCTCACCCTCCACCCCCCCCCCCTCCTTCTTCTGGAAACATAAGTAACCGAAAGATCTGGCGATGGTTTATCCACCTCCTCTGCCGCCGCGCTGCGAGGCCTCGATTCGTTCGGTATGTGGCTTCCTGAGCGGTCCTCCCCGGAGGCAAGGTGAAAGGTCATGGCCTGTATCAGAAATTTATACGTTGCTGAATATGTTTTATAGTTCTTCCAAGGCCTTGGACACCGTTTTATTATATCGGATAAGCATTGCACTTTCTTATCAATCAATACATTTAAAGAAAACTTGATCATAATCTTATACTGCGGCAATTGTAGTTCTGCTTACGGCTGCCTCTTTATGATACGGGCCACCACCATCTCCACTGCGCTGGAGCTCAGGCGTTCTACCCCTCCCCGCTACGGACCGGCCCTCGGGCTAGATGTGTTAGTACTGAGCGCAAACCTGTAGTAGTCACGTGACTTTCATTCACGTAGCGGGAACGGAAGCTATAGGCGATACCAAGGACGGGCTCTGGGGAGGCAACCGGCGCGGAAAAATAGCACGATTGTAGTTTTGGAAGAATATCTGTTGCGGTAAGAGGAATTATACAAAACATACGTCCTAGGAGCAAACATGTGTTATTCCTCCATACTTTGCGCTACATTTCCTTTCTCCAATGGCCAGCACTTAGCAAATAATAGCGCAATTCTAAATTGGTAATATATGTGTACAGTAGCAACTGCGGGTCCCTGTACACTACTCAAAAGTGCTGCTGCTTCATGCTTGCAGTTTGATTGCAGTGATCAACTTTTCAAGACTTTGGTATACACAATATGGCGGAAATCGTTAGACATTCTGGCCCATATACGGCCAAGGCGAGTGCCTCCCCCTGGTGAAATCAGAGCCGGAAGGTCACTGACCTTTGGCAATGAATACCGGAACAGAGCACCGCCGGCCAGGAGGAGACGCCAAACTTATTCTGGCAATAGCTCGGCCGCTACTGGGCCGATTTTATTGAAACTTGATTTATTACGCTGCGCGTAATGCTGTCCCTCTAGTTACATAGGGTAGGGTGGGGTAATTTGAACATGTGGGGCAATTTGAACATAGTATGAATAACACAAAATTATGGAAAATCCATAAGTGGCACGACAATAAGACCAATTAGAGAAATTATCGTAACTAAAAGAGCTATCATATGAACGGGGTTTAATGTTTCAGGGAATTAAGATGTTGACGCACAATGTAAAAAATCAATTTCGCAAGTGAAAACGCCCAACAACACGTCATTGCAACTTCATTGCAGCGCAAAATATTACATTGCTAGCACTTAATACGCAACGGCTTTTGTTGTACAACGAACTATTAAGTGCCTTCAACCCAAGAAATTTGCTTTTGAAACCTGTGTTAAAATATGGCAAAATAACTTTTAGCGTGGGGTAATTTGAACATAGTGTGAGGATTTCAATAAAGACAGGTATAACTCCGAAAAAACAACGATCCTAGTTTTCTTTTTGCCAATATGTTCGACACAAGGCATTAGCAGCTATGTGATACCAGTTTTAGAAAATTTACGTCTAATTTCCGTCCAATGTCTAGCATTTTCGTTGAATTTCAATACAAAAAAATTAAGTCAGCCATGTGTCCAAATATGTCCGAAAATAACGTATTGATCAGCATCCAAAGCTGTCATTTAAATTGTTTATGTTGTAGTTTTATCAGCTGAAAAGTGTTCATTATATTGAGAGCTTAACTAAGCTTCCCATTCGCCAATCAATGCTTGCACGATTACTTCATAAAAATGCTGAAGTGTAGTAAGCCATCGTCCAATGTTGTCCAGTCTGCTACCTTTGTCCAACCAATTCCGAATTGGACATTGGACAAAATCAGAACTCCTAATGTCCAGGTTCCGATTGGCACCACTATAACAGATGAAGTAAGGTTGGGAGAGTTTTTATTGAACGGAAATGATAGACGTTCTGTTAACTGAATAGAGGCGACTTCTGTCAACTGACCGGTGTGCAGCATGCAGATATTGATACTCTGCAAGTGTTATGCTTGTTGTTTTGTTGATTTTCAAATGAAGATATGTTTAGAATTGTTCTGCCAATTTGTTTATGCATCAAACAACATCGGTGTTGGCGAGATTATCGTTTTTATGGCACGTAAAGGCAGTATGTTCAAATTACCCCACGGTGGGGCAAGTTGAACATACCGTGACTTGGTGGAGAAGTGAGGCTATGCTATCCCAGGTACGCTCGGCTCGTCCAAAAATGAGATTTGCATGGTGAAAGGAAGTGACATTTGCGCTACTGAAACAGTTTTTCTTCATCCAGGGTTGAGCTGGAATTTGGTAGGGACGAAAAGACGTAAAAATATGTTCAAATTACCCCACCCTACCCTATATAAAAATCAAAACGTCTGTACGTATGTATGTATGTAACGCGTCAGTCACGCTTGGCGGGCTATTGCTGTGGAACGGTGCGGGCTACGGGGGTGAAATTTTCGACTGAAGTCGGACGCGTGCATCTGTTTGTCGTATCAACTTTTCGAGGGGGTGCGTGCAGCGGTGTGCACGTGGCGGGCGCATCTTTGCGGGATTTTGGCCGCGGCCGGCTTCGAGCAGAGAGCACGCGCCTTAGGCTTAGTTTCTTCGCTTGCAAAACTGAGCAAAATCAGAGCCGGCAGGTCACTGACCTTTGGCAATGAATACCGGAACAGGGCACCGCCGGCCAAGAGGAGTCACCAAATTTATTCTGGCAATAACTCGGCCGCTACTGGGCCGATTTTAATGAAAATTGATTTATTACGCTGCGCGTAATGCTGTCCCTCTAGTTTACTTATATAAAAATCAAAATGTCCGTATGTATGTATGTAACGCGTCAGTCACGCTTGGCGGGCTATTGCTCCGGAACGGTAAGGGCTACGGGGGTGAAATTTTCGACTGAAGTCGGACGCGTGCATCTGTTTGTCGTATCAACTTTTCGAGGGGGTGCGCTCGCCGGTTTGCACATGGCGGGCGCATCTTTACGGGATTTTGGGCCGCGGCCGTCGCCGATCAGAGAGCACGCGCATTAACCTCAGTTTCTTCGCTTGCAAAACCATGAGCGGAAACATCGCTGGGGGTCATTGACCTTTGGCAATGAATACCGGAACAGGGCACCGCCGGCCAAGAGGAGACGCCAAATTTATTCTGGCCATAACTCGCCCGCTACTGGGCCGATTTTAATGAAAATTGATTCATTACGCTGCGCGTAATGCTGGTTACTTATATAAAAATCAAAATGTCCGTAATATGTATGTGACGCGTCAGTCACGCTTGGCGGGCTATTGCTCCGGAACGGTGCGAGCTACGGGGGTGAAATTTTGAACGTAAGTCGGACGCGTGCATCTGTTTGTCGTACCAACTTTTCGAGGGGTGCGTGCAGCGGTGTGCACGTGGCGGGCGCATCTTTGCGGGATTTTGGGCCGCGGCCGTCGCCGATCAGAGAGCACGCGCATTAACCTCAGTTTCTTCGCTTGCAAAACCATGAGCGGAAACATCGCTGGGGGTCATTGACCTTTGGCAATGAATACCGGAACAGGGCACCGCCGGCCAAGAGGAGACGCCAAATTTATTCTGGCCATAACTCGGCCGCTACTGGGCCGATTTTAATGAAAATTGATTCATTACGCTGCGCGTAATGCTGGTTACTTATATAAAAATCAAAATGTCCGTATGTATGTATGTATGTGACGCGTCAGTCACGCTTGGCGGGCTATTGCTCCGGAACGGTGCGAGCTACGGGGGTGAAATTTTGAACGTAAGTCGGACGCGTGCATCTGTTTGTCGTATCAACTTTTCGAGGGGTGCGTGCAGCGGTGTGCACGTGGCGGGCGCATCTTTGCGGGATTTTGGGCCGCGGCCGGCGCCGAGCAGAGAGCACGCGCCTTAGGCTCAGTTTCTTCGCTTGCAAAACTGAGCGGAAACAGAGTCGGCAGGTCGTTGACCTTTGGCAATGAATACCGGAACAGGGCACCGCCGGCCAGGAGGAGACGCCCAAATTATTCTGGCCATAACTCGGCCGCTACTGGGCCGATTTTATTGAAACTTGATTTATTACGTTGCACGTAATGCTGTCCCTCTTTACGCTGCGCGTAATGCTGTCCCTCTAGTTACATATATAAAAATCAAAATGTCCGTATGTAACGCGTCAGTCACGCTTTAAGGGCTATTGCTGTGGAACGGTGCGGGCTACGGGGGTGGAATTTTGGACTTAAGTCGGACGCGTGCATCTGTTTGTTATATTAAATTTTGGAGGGGGTGCGCTCGCCGGTTTGCACGTGGCGGGCGCATCTTTGCGGAATTTTGGCCGCGGCCGGAGCCGAGCAGACGGCACGTGCCTTAGGCTCAGTTGTTCGCTGCGAAGTGATATTTCTTTCCGCAATAAATAAGTTTCCTATAAAGAACAGGTAGATCGGATCTTTTGAGATAAGCCCAAATTACAAATCTGACGCACCTATGACATTTCTCTACACTCATGTGATAATTGTAATAGCTTTTGTGTTTTGCAATGTTTGCACCCAGCCAAATATATCAGAAATTTAAAAGGTATTTTGAATGTCATTCCAAGCATCATTTGGGTGATTTCGTGCAATAAAATACATAGAAGTGCTCAAAACAAGTCACGTGATGCTACCAGATTCTGTGCTCAGACAGCATCGTGTCCGTTGGGCGTCAAATTAAATGAAACGAACAAATTAAAAAAAGATGGTAACGCGGCAAATATGAATGTAAACAACGTTGGCGTATCTCAGTCGATTCAGCGGATTCGACCAGGATTTTTATCGAGCATAGTGTTTTATTTTCAAGTAAGTGAGTTGTTGCATTTTTCGTACATGTATCCCAATTAAAAGAATGTCATGCGTCGGGCGGTGTCCGCTAACGCAGCGGCCCAGCGCCGCCGTCGGGCCCGTTTGACAGAGGCGCAGCGGCAGGCTCAGGCCGAACGGAACGCGGCCCAGCAGCGAGCGCGCCGGCAGAGGGAGGCTGTACGGGAGGCCAAGGCTGCTCGCCAGCGGGAGCGCGCGGACGACGACCGGGTGCGACAGCTCAACGCCGAGAGGCAGCGCGCGTTCCGAGCCGCACAGGAGGAGCACAGGCAGGCGGAGCTGGAGGCGAACGCGGCGCGCCTCCGCCAGCGGCGAGAGGAGCAGGAGGAGGCGGAGAGGCAGGCCGAGCTTGCCGAGGGTGCCCGGCGCCACCAGCAGCAGCGCGCTGCCGCCCGTGCGAGGCCAGCCTCGCTAGCGGCCCGCCGACCAGCGGCCGTTTTGTCCGGCGAGCAGGTGGTGGAGGCCGATAATGTCGGTGCGATGGTGAAAGTGTGTGCGTCGTGCGGAGCCCTGCGGTGGGCGGGTGAGCGCGCCACGTTCTGCTGTGCAGGCGGCAAGGTCCACCTTGACCCGCTCCCAGCCCCGCCGCCAGTCTTACGCCGCCTTTGGACTGATGACACCTTAGAGGCGCGCACCTTCCGGCAGTACGTCCGGCACCTCAACTCAGCGCTGGCCCTATCCTCTTTGTCCGTGCGTGAGGTGCCGCCGCCTGCAGGCACCGGCGGGTACGCGCCGTGTGTGGTGGTGCAGGGGCGGCTGTACCACCGCATTGGACCGCTGGAAGCCCCTGAAGACCGGCCACCCTCCTTCGCCCAGATATACATCAGCGACCCGCTGGCCGAAGATCCGGAGGCTGAAGCGGCCATTCGACTCGGTCATGTGCGCCTTCCGACAGCGACCTCTACCGCCGTGCAGCACCGGCTGCTGGACCTGCTGGGACAGCTTCAGGCCATGCTGCGCCAAGTCAACCCCTGGGTGCACGATTTTATCATGGCTGCCGAGATCCTGGCCCAGGAGGTGGAGCATCGGCAGCTGATCATCAGCGTTGCAGCCCGACCCGCTGGCCAGCACGCGCGCCGCTACAACGCCCCCGAGGGACTGCGTGAGGTGGCTGTCCTCATGGGAGAGGAGCCCGGACAGCACGACCTGGTACTGCGCCGCCGAGCTGATGGCGGGACCGGCGTGCTGCAGACCATCGATGAGAGCCACCGAGCGTGTGACCCACTCCATTTCGTCCTCCTGTTTCCACTGGGGACTTGTTGCGATTCCAAGTTAAAGAAGGTATAGATACACCAGGCCGATGTATTTTTGATCGTCAGCAAAATGAACAACCATGGCAGGGCAGGGCTCCGACTCGGCCCAGTACAAACTCTGCACCAAGATACGCCTACTCGATGAAATGAGAGCCTCATTCATGGCTCCCCAATCCGTAAATAACCTCCCTGAATAGGCGCGTTGCCGTATGGAATAGCGACCTTGCAAGGCACGCTCAAATGATACGAACAGCTCCGTGAATATGCTCGCCGAACAGGCCGCTCAGACTAGTAAGGCTAACATATTCACGGCGCTGTGCTATCGGTGGTTGGGTCCAAAAGCGTATGTGGAACGAGCCGGACAGACTCAGTCCCAGATTTAGACCCTCGAATGTATATGCGTCGCCGAGTAAGCCGACAGCAAGCCTCTCAGACGAGTCTGCCGACGTCCCCAGCAAACGCATATAACATTCGAGGTCCCAACGCACCAGCCGCGACAACAGACATTGCCCGACTGCCCTCCGCCGGCGCGCCCTCACCCGACCTCACCTCACAATCACGTGGTCAGCAGCCGACCAATCACTGCACGAGTCCGCGCCGCACAGCCCCGCTCCAGCGAGAGATGCTGTGCCGCAATACAGCGGCCGCGCGTCGGCCGGGAAGCTCAGCCGGCGGCCGGGCGAATCACTGATCACAGCAAGATACAAATATTTCTTAAAACCACTTATGAACGAATTTCAACAGGACTACAGGGTGGCACCCGGCGATTGATCAGGCGCCGCAGCCCGGCAGGGAGCGGCAGCGAATGGTGACAACACTCCAGTTTTACGCATACCGGCTCCAGATCAGGCCCCACCAGGACGACAGCCTCCACCGCGCCGGTCGCCTGTTCCAAGAGTTTGTCTGTATGGCCTACGCCAAGGTCGAGGCCATCCGGCTGAAGTACATCTCCACCCACCAGCGCGAGATCCGGGCGGACCTCTACCAGAGCGTCCGTGACGCCGTGGCGGCTGACGCGGAGCTCGGCCAGCAGGAGCAGCCCGAGGAGGGACGTGAGCAGGCTGGTGTACCGGTCGTCGGGAGACGAGTCGTTCTGCCGGCTACTTTCATCGGTGGACCCCGCCATACGAGGCAACGGTGAGCTACGCAAACATACACCAATCTTAAATTACTAACCACTATTTTGTATTCGCTGAAGTCTTATTTACACTATTACCACTCATATTAAATTTGCTTGAATGCATCATAATGCACTCAAGTCAGCATAGCAACGTTAAAAAACGAACAAACACCTGTGCTCACATTTAACGAATAAGTTAGTATTCGCCAATTCATTTTTGTTTGGACTATAATCTGCCTACAGGTGCCAGGTGGTCATATTTTTGGTTCTACGACAAATGTCACTTTCAAACAACCGTCAACTTTTAGCTTCGTGTTTGGACTATTTTCTGCCCATAGTCATGCTTTTGGTTCTACGGTAAATGTTAACTTCCAACAACCATCTAATATTATCTACATTTTCCCTCAACTTTGCAGTTACATGGACGCCATGGCCATCGTGAGGGCCAAGGGGAAGCCGACCCTCTTCATTACCATCACGTGTAATCCGAAGTGGCCGGAGATCGCAAACGCCCTGTTGCCCGGACAGAAGCCCGAGGATCGACCCGACTTGGTGGCGCGAGTGTTCCACCTCAAGCTCCGCCGCATCATCGGGGACCTGACCAAGCAGGCCGTCTTCGGCAAGCCGAGCGCCTTCATGTGGGTCATCGAGTTTCAGAAGCGCGGTAAGTCACAACATGGCTTTGACAAAAATACCTGTACAGACATGAACTCAGTCGCGGGGGGACGTGACACGCACCCCAGCAATATACACATTTATTCCGATTTAAAGCTCACGCCTTAACGGCCAAATAAATACAATCGAAGAAGTCAACGTGAAAAAGATTTCGTCGTGTAAAGTTCATAATGCTTCGCGTTGTTTTACCTTTTGACGGCGAATATAAATTCACTTATTGTTAGACTATCCCGCAATACACGGCTGCATGGCGGGTTCCCTAGCTTCTGTCGTATTAAAGGTAGTGTGCCACCTTTGAAAGATTTCCCATTTTATTTTTCCTAGGATAAGAAGCTTCTGTTTTTACCTAATATCGCAAAAAAAATCAAAAATGGGCCTGGAATAGTGCCTTTTTCGCCTAAAAGTTTATCGGTTTTTCGATATGTATAACAACTGTAGTGGGCTGAACTGCAAACAGGCGTCGGCAACAATCGCGAATGCGGCGCACATGTGACAATAAGCAAAGGTCATTATAGAGTTACGACGTGCGGGAATGAGTTATCAGCTGTCTAATCGTAGACAACACAATGTCGAGCCTTAAACTGTAAGCCTGTATTGGTATTGTTTCTTTTATTTGGCTGTCGAACATTATTTATGGTTTGAAATATGATTTTATGTAAAATAATTGATATGAAAAAGCCGTCTCTTAAGTTATGACCCCATTTCCCCACACGCAAGTGGCAGAAATGACAATGATCAGCTGACGCATTTTTCTTGGCCGAAGTCAGAGCGCGCGGCCCGACGCACCACCACCGCACCACAAAGTATGAGCAGAAGCCGCGCCCAAAGCCAGGGCCCCGGTAACGTGAGGTAGCCGAGTCGGGGCAGCGTGCGCTGACCCAAGCCGGGGCCGCAGTTTTGGGCGCGGTCTACCGCATCCCCGCGGGCAGCCCCGGGCTATCACATGACACCGGGAGGACGCGCGGCCCCGGCTTGGGTCAGCGCACGCTGCCCCGACTCGGCTACCTCACGTTACCGGGGCCCTGGCTTTGGGCGCGGTCTACCGCACCACCTAACAGGCGTGTTCGAAACCGCAGGAGATGATGATGAACGGGTTTATCGAAACTTGATTGGATGAGCATATCGGTAATAGCGACTTCAGTGTGTGCATTTATTGTTCATAGTGGTGTGAAATGTGGTTGGGGTACGACCGACAACCCGTCGTCGGGGCGAATTTCGCACTGGGGTACTCAAAATTTGAAGAATTTAAGACGTTTCCATGAGTTTTGAAGGTATGGATAAGTTCTAAAAATCCGGTTCTCCTTATCTGGGCCATTAACTCCATACGGTCCAGGAAAGCTGGCACACTACCTTTAAAGCAAATCATCTGCGACAACCAGTCGAGCTATTCCGGCCAGTACAGGCGCTGGCGTTTCCATATAATTCACTTATTGTTAGACTGTCCCGCAAGACACGGCTGCATGGCGGGTTGCCTAGCTTCTGTCGTTTTAACGCAAATCATCTGCGACAATCGGTTGAGATATACCAGTCAGAAATGCTTCGCGTCGCTTCAGCTTCCGCGGGCGAATATAAATTCATTTATTGTTAGACTATCCCGCAATACACGGCTGCATGGCTGGTTGCCTAGCTTCTGTCGTATTAACGCAAATCATCTGCGACAACCAGTCGAACTATTCCCGCCAGGCGGCCAGTACAGGCGCTGGCGTTTCCATATAATTCACTTAAATCTGAGGGCACCCATTTTGTAATATTAGGTCCGTGGCAGTGTATTAAAGACGACAAAATACAGCTGCGTGTCGGTTTGCATACCCTCTACTCTACCATACTAACGTACCGAAGCTAAGCATCTTTAAATATCAGTCAAGCGATTCCAGGTCACACTAGAACGCATCAAAATTGTGAGTCTGACATTTTCTTTTTGTTTGCAGGCCTGCCTCACTGTCATCTCCTGCTCATCCTGCAGCCGGAGGACCGGCCTCGGACCGGCGCCGATGCGGACACGATCGTCTCGGCGGAGCTGCCGGACCCCACCGAATCGCCGCAGTCGGCCCGTGTGCAGCAGATTGTCCTCACCAGCATGGTTCACAACGAGTGCGGCGCTGCTCGGCCAACCGCCACCTGCATGAAAGACGGTCAGTGCTCCAAACGGTTCCCGAAACCGCTCTCCCACGAGACCATCTGGCAGGAGGACCGCACGTACCCCCAGTACCGGAGGCGCGGACCCGAGGACGGCGGCCAGCAGGCGGAACACAATGGGAGGCTGGTGACGAACCAGTGGGTCGTGCCCTACAATCCGCTCCTCAGCCTTCGCTACGAGTGTCACATCAACGTGGAGGTGTGCTCCTCTGTGGACGGAGTTAAGTACCTTTTTATGTACATTTACAAGGGCTCCGACCGGCAGATGGTCCGCGCAGATCAGCTGATCGAGGCCGGTCAGGACGAGGTGGCAGCTTTCCGAGACCTCCGCTCCATTGGTGCGAGCGAAGCATGCTGGCGGCTGTTCAGCTTCGAGATGAGCGACCGGTCACCAGCGGTGCTGGCGCTACAGGTTCATCTCGAAGACCATCAGCTGATCTTCTTCCAGCCTGGGGAGGAGCGGCAGGCAGTGGCTGGGGAGCCACGCCACACGCAGCTGACTGCCTGGATGACCTACAATCGGGCGTCGGCCGGCGAGGACCCCGAGTGCCTCCGGGTGCTCTACCCGGACTTCCCCCAGAAGTACCGCTGGGACGCCGGCCAGAAGCGGTGGCACCGGCGCCGCAACATGCAGGCGGCGCCCACCATCGGCCGGGTGGTGAGTCTCACACCCAGGCACGGGGATGTATTCTACCTCCGGGTATTGCTGCATCACGTCCCCGGCGCCACGACATTCGCCGAGCTGCGCACGGTGGACGGCCAGGTGTGCGGCACACACCAGGAGGCGTGTCGGCGGCGTGGCCTGCTCCAGGACGACCAGGAGTGGGCGGAGACGCTGGCTGAGGCCGTCCGCACCCAGCGCCCCGGCCAGCTCAGGCAGCTGTTTGTGGTGCTGCTGCTATTTTGCGCGCCGGCCGATCCCGCAACCCTCCTCCACCGGTTCCAGGCAGCAATGGGAGAAGACTTCGCCCGCCGCCACCCAGAGCTGCCGCCGGAGACGGTGACGGGACTGGTGCTACTGCGCATCAGCGACTCCCTCCAGCGGGCCGGCAAGACGCTGGAGGACTTCGGCCTGCCGCCCGTGCCAGCTGAACACCAAGCAGCGGCCGCCGCCTTGGAGGGGACCGAGGAGCTGCGGCGCCTGCCTCCCATTATACGGGAGGAGGTCGACTTCGACCGTGCCGACCTTCAGCACACCGTCGACCAGCGGCTGCCAGGCCTACTGCCGGATCAGCGCCAGGCGGTGGACACGGTGCTGGCCGCGGTCGACGGCCAGGAGCCGCTCGCCCTATTCTTGGACGGCGCCAGGTGGCACTGGCAAAACATTTACGTTTAAAGGGACCCCCCCACCTTAACATTAGATTTGAGTTGAGATAGCCAAAATGGGGTCCCTGGCTCACAATTACCGGTTTCGGCACTCACAACATCGAGAAATGCCTTAAATCGGAAATATTGAATTTCAAAATTGCAGCATTTTGATTCAGAGGGGCTAATGCATAGGAATACCCCTCTGAATGTGTGACGTCAGCGCAGATATTTAACGATTTTTAAATGTTTGACTAAAACGTTTTGTAGCACGCGGTGGTATATGCTGCTTTGCGCGCAACAAATGCCGCACTTTTAAATAAAGTCGCTAGGAACAGCGGAGATCCCAAAAAGTAAACAAAAGTAAAAGTCTAATATCTTGAAAACCGGTGAATATTTTTCGATGAAATTTGGTAGATATTCGTTTTTGCTCTTTCTGAACCGAGCGACATCACTTTCATGCCAATTCATTAACTTTTTTGAAGGTGGGAGGGTCCCTTTAATCTGCTCATCTCTGCGGTGCGAGCCAAGGGCCTGGTGGCACTTGCCGTGGCGTTCAGCGGTATCGCCGCTACACTGCTGGACAGCGGGAGGACTTTTCACAGCCGTTTTAAAGCTCCTCTGCGACCGGACGACACCGTCATCTTCAACATCTCCGCCCAGAGCGAGCTCGCCCAGCTGATCCGGTTAGCGCGCCTCATCGTGATGGATGAGGCTCCGATGGCGCACCGGCACCACATCGAGGGCCTCGACCGGACGCTGCGCGACCTGACGGGGTCTGATCAGCTGTTCGACGGCAAGGTGGTGGTGCTGGGCGGCGACTTCCGGCAGGTTCTGCCTGTCGTCCGGCACGCCAACCAGGCAGGCGTCGTGGACGCCAGTCTCCGTCGCTCGCCGCTGTGGCGCCACTTCAGAGTACACCGGCTGCGGGAAAACATGCGCGCCAGGCTGGCGCAGGAGGAGAACCAACAGGCCGAGCTGGAAGAGTTCTCCACCTGGCTGCTGCAGCTCGGCAACGGCGAGCTGCCCACAGACGCCGAGGGACGGGTCACCCTGCCGCCGGCGCTGGTGCTGGAAGCCGAGTTGCCGGCCGTCATCGACTGGACCTTCGGCAACCTGACCGACGCCGACAGCATGGCGTCCCGCGCCGTGCTGGCGCCCACTAACAGCACCGTCGACTCGGTGAACAGTTATGTCACCGACATCTTCCCGGGCCAGGCCGTGGAGTGCCTCAGCGTAGACGCCACCGTCGGGGAGGAGCAGGAGCCGGTACCCCAGGAGTACCTCAACGGGCTGTGTGTGCCGGGCCTCCCGCCTCATCACCTGCTTTTGAAGCCCGGCATGCCAGTCATCCTGCTCCGAAACATCGACCCGGCCAGGGGACTGTGTAACGGCACCCGGCTCCTGGTGGTGGCCGTCCACGGCGGCCGGCTCCTGGAGGCGACCGTGGCCTGCGGCAGCGCGGCCGGCCGCCGGGTTCTCATCCCCCGCCTGACGCTGCAGCCGCCGGACGACGCCTTCCCGTTCGAGTGGCGGCGGCGCCAGTTCCCGGTGCGGCCCGCCTTTGCGCTCACAACACGGGCTTGCCGATAATCATCATCAGTATGAAAGTCTGCACTCGCATCCCGAGACTCACGCGGCGGCAGAGCCGGCAACGACTAACGTCTTGCACGGTCCATTCCATTCGAGTATCAAGGGAGAAGGTGTCCTAAAGCCGGTGCCGTCCACATATTATCTGACATGGATCATCAATGGCTCATAATGAAGAGAGACAGAGAGAATCGAGCCGCTGAAGCTACAGTCAGTTCTGATGACTACAAATTATTGTGTCCAGCACTACCGTCAGGGCTTACCTTGACGGTAGTGTTGAAGCGGCACGAAGAAAACAACCTGTTCAAGGACTAGACACAAGCGGAATCCAGTCAGCCTCAGACTGAAAACGTATTTCAAGCCGGTGTATCGAAGGCAGCTGAACAGCTGAACCGTGTCGTTTGTGCTACCGGAAGCCGAAAGGCATCACCGCGCTGTTGGTCATATCGGCGCAAAGCGGCATGAGGACAACCAGCAGCTGACAGCAAATCCCCGCCCAATTCGAGAGGCTGGAGGATCCGCTGATATTGGCGAATGAAGCTGCTCTCAGTATCGAGGGAAAACGTTTGGCCAACCTGTTCTGCGAGAATTCGTACTTGCAGGCAAATTTCTATCTGCATTATCACTGATGACACAGCAAATGAACGAATGTAGCTACCTGGATTCTGGATCCTGGGATCCACTGGATCCAGGTTTCGGCATCCACTGGATCCAGGATTCGGCATCCATGGATGAACAATTAGCCTATGCATTGGCCATTGACTTTGAAAACATAATATAAGGATATATGTAGACACCCGGATCCTGTATCCAGGGATTCGTTAGATCCAGGATCCGGATCCATGTTGATGATAAAGGGACCCTGGGTCGGCCCGTGGGATTCAGCATTGATGAAATACGCCATCATTAGTCCACTGATCTTGTCTTTTCTCGCGAATCGCTTTTATTCCGGTGTTACACACCAATCGCAACGGCTCCTTAGCATTAGAGACTGCAACGCCTGAAAGCGTTTGCAGACCTTCATTCATCGCAAATGCGCTCATGTCTAAGCTTGACCGATCGGCTTAAGATTTTGCATGTGTTCATTTGAAACTATGGCCCAAGTTGTTCACTAGTTATGCCTTGCACTTTCCAAAAAAAGTGTTTTTCGCCCCACCCTAATGTACATACACCATGACCCCTTCGAATTCGCTCATATTTTGCACCTATGATGCCCTATATAAAACAAAAATTTTGACGCGGTTTTTAGCGCTCAGTCGCAAATGGAAAATGCCGATCGCTAAACGCTCGCGCTTGCGTTAAAGGGATATCTCGGAATAGGTTAACTGTTCCCCGCCAGGTTATCCAGGAAAACGTTTTTAGTTATCCTCTGGATAGAAACTCCTCTTCCATCCTCCATTAAAACTTCTGCACCTTGGTGGATAACGCAACGTTTAAAGTAGCATTGGAATCATCTATATTTCTCTCGCTTTTCACAGACGAAGAACTCATGTCGTTCCTCGCCCACGGCTGCGGCACCACGGTGGGGGAGCTGGCGGACCCCCGGAATGCGGTGAGATGCATTGAGGGTTCAGGATTGGAGGTTCAGGGTGTCGTGGCCGCTACCCCGTGTTGATGTTGAAAGGTCGCCCTGCACGTCGAAACTTGGAGCGGCCCTGCCGCTATCCACAGAGAGTGGCCCGAGTTGGCACCCTACTGTGGCGGGGGACGTGCAGTCGAAGTGGGTGTGGAGAGCTTTAAGTGGACTGTATCATTTGAGAGAATGGACTAGCCGACTGATCACCGCGACCGCCAGGTCAAAGCTGTACTTGGCACGTCTTAAATGTATTGTCGAGAGCCTTGTCGGAGAAACCTCCGCACAAGTCTTACTCATGCGTGCCGAAAATCAAGACAAATCAAGAACAAGACATGAGCTGGTTAGACACTTGCCAGCAGAGACAAACACGAATCCAAGAACGAGTCAGACGCATCGAGCCGTCGAACATGAGCGCATCCCGCTGATGTGCGCGATTGTATGTCGTGTGTTAACCCTGAGGTGAAACGGCGCTATATCCGGAGTTAAACTGGAGCTAAGCCAGATTAAGAGAGGATAACTATGGGAAATTGCTAAGGAAACTTTACGAGTAGGTTCGACCGAACGGCCGAAACCATACTCCGTAGAGATGCAAACGTATTAGATTTAGGGGGAATACTGGCATCAAAATGGTCGTCCACAAGGGCGAACCACCAGTATTAGATTATTGGGACGGCCTCAAATCGCCGGAGCGACGCCCGAGCTCAGAGAGCACGTGTCCGGACGGGCACGTACCGCGCAGAGATCGAGAGCCGACTGACTGCCGCTCCGAGTCCCGACCCCAGGTCAGTTCGGCCGGCGCCTGGGGCTAGCCGCCCGGCCCGGCCCTCTGATTGGCCGGCGCTACAGCGAGCGCGGGCAGCGGCCGGCGGAGCGCCCGCCAACGCGATACAAGGCACACAAGCATCACAGCCCCGTGGTACGCGACGTAATAATAAACACAACAATCGATAGCAAGTAACAACACAAATACACTTCTCACGCGACGGCACACCAAATCACGCCGGGACTGTCGCGGATGGGTCCCGACGGGGAGGGGAGGGGAGAACGCCGCCGCTGCCTAGCACCGACCGCGGCGCCAGAGCTGCCGGTTTACCTCTGCAGGGGCCCACACTCCACATACTCCCCACCAAAAAAACAAAGGTTTTTTTCTCTTCTTGAACACAAGTATCCGTCGGATGTCACCATGACGACACGCCAGCCGTCGAGTGTCTCCCGGCTCCAAGTCCAGGCTGGTCCACGCCGCGCCGACGCGCGCACGGGCCAGGATCCGGTCGAGTGGCGCCCGGGGAGACAGTCCGGAGCCACGGGCTGCAGCATGCGGAGATCGGGTATCGCGGGCATGTACTGGGTCCGGTCCCGCCCGGTCCGCCAGCCAGTCTCCGGCCTCGCCATCGCTGACTGCTGAGCATAATCGTCTCCATGTTGTCCTGCTAATGATACAAACATGAGTAAATAAACGCACAATGTAACACAACTGGGAACGTTCGATGGTTTGAGGAAAATGGGCAAAGTGGCGACGATGAGTGACTTTTCGCTAATGAAAAGATACTGGGCATTGGGCAAATCAGGAAAATGCAAGTTGACGGGACGTCGGGAAATGACGTAAGTTGTGATGCGTTTGCCACAGGAAACGTTGAACGAAAGCATGATACTTGAATGATGGATGACTGAAAAAGACACAACAATACAGTAGTTACTTGCGAATCTCAGGATAGTAGGATTGCTTGCTGGAGTCGGAGAACCTCCGCACTCAGATGGAACTGTGACTTAGAAGTCGAAGAAGCTCCACACTCGGACGAAGACTGGGACTAGGGAGTCGGAGAACCTCCGCACTCCGCTGAGCCAGTTTGATGCACCAATACAGAGCGTTGCGCTGCTTCTTGGGTCTGGGTGGTCCGTTAGCTCGCTGCTCCTTTCGAAAGCGCAGGCTATGGATGAGCCGCAGCACCCACGATGTTATGTTGATCGCTTGTTTCCGATGGGAACAGTCCGTCGGAAGGAATGGCCCTCTGGTGTGCGTTGTGCGAGTCGAGGCAGCCCCCGCACTCGCACAGCTCTGTGACGGTCTCGTTTCGTCGTCTGTGAGCACGTCGAGTACTTGACTCTTGGCTTGGAAGGGGCTGGTGTTCTCTAGCTCCTTCGTCGGATCTTCCGATTCCTCGATTCTCTGATTTTGACTGCTGGCCATTGTCAGAGGGGGCAGTCTGGCTTCTGTCGCCACCAGCTGAGGCTCCCCACCGTAGGCAGCGTGCACGACGGCACAGCAAGTCTTGCTGGCTTCGTCGCAGAAGACTTGGAAGACCACGTCTTCACCATGAGGATGGACGGATCTCGGGACCTCAGCTTCTAGTTCCGGCCCATAGCGCTCTTCTTGCGAGTTTCCCTCGGGTTCTCGTTGGAGGTTTTGAGCCTCAGGGTCCGGAGTTTTACCCATGGAATCGAGGTCCCACATTTGTTCCACTTGTTGACAGTGGTATACATGTCGAGTGGACTGTCCTGTTGCAGTGCCCTTCCCGTGGATCACGTAGCCAAAGATCGTATCCAGTGCTCTCAGGGATTCATCTAGAACGACGCAATCCCGCAGCACGACCTTGTAGTACTGGTCTGTCCCTATCAGGATGTCCACCTGGCCACCGCTGAAGTCGTCGGCCAGTTCGATGTTCTCGTCCAATCCCTCGGGCCGCTCTGCCGGTGGTAGAGGTGCGCACAGGCGGTCACAACACCACAGCTCGAATCTCCTCGCTTCACCTCCGTGTCGGTTCTGTAGGTCGACTGCGACGCGATCGTATGACCGTGGCTCCTCTGCTCTCTCCTGGAAGCCGACGCAAGCGAATGTGTCGGAGCCGATGACGTCCAGACTCATCTCTTCGGCGACCGTCTTCCTGATATAAGAAGCGTCGGACCCACCATCCAGCAGGGCTCTCAGCATCTTGGGTCCGCGTGGCCCTCTCCCCACCACCAGCGCAGTCTGAATGTAACACTGTGATGTAGTACGCTGAGCTGCGTAGCGCATGCTGGGATGGGAGTGCTGGCCGTGGCTGGAAGTGGAAGGTTCTGGCCGTTGATTTTGAGAGACTGATGGATGCGTGCTAACTGTTGGAGGTACCGGCGCGGGAGGTGGTACAGCAGGACTGTAGGGAACAGAGCTGGCGAGAGGAGCAGGTGCAGGCTCTGGCGCTGGGGCTTGGTGACGATGTAGAGATGTATGATGCGAACCCTGACAGTGCCTGCAATTGCCACTCCTACAGTCTTTGATGAAGTGACGTCCGAGACAGCGGAAGCAGGCCCTTACCCTCTTCACCGTCGTCCAGCGGTCCTCCACGGTCATCTCCAGGTACCGCGAACACTTGTCGAGACGATGAGATCCCTTACACACAGGGCACGGTTTTTGAGCTGGCGTTGCCTGAACTCGCTGGGTGTTCAGCAC